ACTTCATGCAATGAAAATTTTAAACGCCCGGAGAATGCAGATAGTTCAAAAATAAAGCTGGCGGAAAATGCAGATAGTCCAAACTTGTTTCACGCAGAGATTGCAGATAGCTCAATTTCGTTATAGGCGGAGAGAGCAGATAGACCGATTTTGCGCGGAGCCATCGTTATCTATTTAAAAAAAAATTATTTTGATGACACAATTTATTACATGATGATGTAAGGGTTTGTTCGTAAAGTACGTCAAGCAGAATTTCAATAATAATTAGAAGTAGAAGATCATTGGCTCATTGGAGATCGCTATTTTACTATATTACATTGAAAAAGAAATATATATTCAAAATAATACTCTTGAAATGAAAGCGGTGACAATATATAAAGATTAAAAATAAATCAAACTAATTATTCTCAATAATAATTAATATACACTGATTATTTTATAATAAAAAAGATATCATTCAAAATATATGTTCGGAAATCGGTTCTTAGTTTGCCGTGCCGTCGTTAAACAACAGCTAATTTTGTGTTGATTTCATATTCGTCTTTAATGATACAGATGGTATTTTATTTTATTTTTGGCGCTGATTAGTTAATGTATACAGTGCTGAAGTAGAGTAGAAAAAAAAAGAACACCAGAAAAGGACCCCATGCTTTCCCAGAACACATTTTAATCGCAGGGGAGGGGGGGTGATTGAGAAATACTTCAATTTGACAAATTCCCAATTTCGTTAAAACGCTGTATCAAATTTATTCCTGGTTAACACCCTGTAATAGCAATAACAATATTAAAACAATTATAACGAAGTAAGCAATGTTAACAATTATATTTAGAATAATATAATAATAACAATAATAACAGTAATAATAATATTGATAAATATTAAATTGAATATTAAACAATAACAATAAGTATTAGTGATATGAATAGAAGTAAAATAATGTTGATATTTATATTACATATAATCATACCAAAAGCAATAATAATAACCCACAATGAGCGTAACATTTTATGAACAGTATTACATTTCTCCAAAATAAAAAGACATAAAGATGAGTTTTAGTAATAAAGCTTAGTGATATAAAGTTAATATAAAAAATAAATTATTCTATGAACAGAAAATGATAAATTATTTTATGATTTTATGCATTGTGATGTGATTTGCAATGCTGTACTTAACTGAACAATGATTTACAATATTTAATTTAAGGTTGCTAAATGATGGAAGATAATATTGAGAATTTTTTATAGAAGTAAAGAAATTACAGATTGAGGTAACTTGTGTGTGGTTTCAGACAAATAAACAATTTAATAGATGAACAAGACCACACAATTTAATAAGTTTGGATAGAAAGAAAAGAATATTAGAATTAGAGTGATATTCTTGAAAGTAAATTATTTTAAATGTCTTGTTTTTAGATTAGATATTCATAAAAAAATTATTTATTCATAATTTATAAGTATATATAATATATCATATTAGAGTGTTTGTAGTATGTTTGAGAAATAAAATTTATATTAAAAGAGATTTGCTTTTTACTATTACAATCTATTTGACTTTAGAAAAATATATTGCTGGTTTAATACAGTTTTATTAATGTTATTTCATTTATGGTGCTAGGTTTGAATACTACAAACAACTTTTGGTCCAAATACTCCATTCATCGCGAATTTAATAAATAAGTTGCAGCATTAATTTTATAAAACCAAATTAAAAACAGTTGCTATATAAAAAAGATTATGTAGCTAAGATCCGCAGCCATTTTAAAATCTCTGAAATTTCTTATGAATTTTTTAAACATGCGCTCATAAACATAACGCTTGTGATTGACTGTGCATAATTATAGGTTTTTAGATTTTGGGTCCCTTATGACAGCTTGGGGGTCATAAGGGACCCAAAAACTCCTTGATCCATCGCTCGACAGTTTATTCATTTTTGTTAAACTCATTGATTATAAAGATGTGCACAACTTTGGAGCACTTCAAACCATATTTGTCCTCATTTATCGAACCCTGAGGGATGAAAGTTTGAGTTGACTTATGACCAGCTACCCAGAAATTAACCCGGGTTGATAGCTTTCGAAATCAGATGTCGCGGCCACCAAGAAGATTATCTGTATAAAAATTGTAAAAATATTTTAAATTTAGAAAAAAAAATTCTGCAATTTAAAATATTTCATTTCAGAAAAAAACACAGTTAAAAAGGCATTGCTTTTCTTTACATGTTTTTAAAATAGCACGGATTTTACTTCGAGCACTCTTATTACCATACTGTAAAATGTAATCAAAAATATTGAATTTTTGCATATTAAATAACTTTTTGGAAACAAATGAATATAAGTTTAAAACTTAACTTAACTTTTAGTTATTTAGTAGATATCAATAAAAAAAAAACATTGAAGTTTTTTAAAATATCTCAGAGCAATAATTCAAAGATAATGGCAATAATTTGTTTCAATAAAAATAACATTACCATGGAAAATTAAATTCTAGTTCAAACTTTTGAAATGTATAGAAATATTAAATGAGCAATATATATAATTAAGCTGAATATATGATTCGCTAACAGTTAGCGATTCATTTATTCTGCTTAATTATATTTATTGCTCATTTAATATTTTTATACATTTAAAAAGTTTGAACAAGAATTTAATTTTCCATTGTAATATTATTTTTTTATTAAAACAAGTTAGTCTAACTTGAAAAAGGGGACATGTTATCTGAATTTTTGCACGACATGTCCCCTTTTTCAAGTTAGAGATTCATATGTAAGTTCACTTAACTAAAGTTTTAAGTACTTCTGTGGTTACAAGAAACGTTTAAGAAAGTATGAAATAAATTTAGACAGTTAAAACTTACATGTATCCAAATTAGTAGATTTTTTTCCTTGATTTTTCATACAGAAATTGATTCAGAATCTCTTCAAAATCTAGACTTTTTGTAACTTCGCTTTTGATAGACATTAATGGCACTAATCATCTTCATAATCTTTATTTTCGTTGTTTGCTAGCTCATTTATGAAGTTCTGAATTTCTGATTCAGCTAATTGGCGACTTTTATAAGTCATAATTTTTATGCTTTTTTAAGTTAACATTCGGCCGATAAAATACTTTTTTGTCGGCCAAAAAGTTTTTCCGATCTGTTGTGGACCATATGTTCATAATTTTAATTCAGAAATGCAACAGAATGTTTTAAACATGTTCATGTTTATGAGATACTTCGGATCTAGCGAGAGCGCCAAAAGGCGTACTTCGAAGCGGAGAGGTTAATTCCAAACAAATCATCTTGAAATAATTTCAGTTCTTTTTTACTTATATTAATTTTTTTAATAAAATAAATATTTTTAAATTCTACTGTTACGTCAGAATAGTTCTTTTTTAAAAAACTATTTTTAAAAGCTGAAAATTAGGGCCATATATATATATATATATATATATATATATATATATATATATATATATATATATATATATATATATATATATATATATATATATATATATATATATATATATATATATATATATATATATATATATATAAACATTCTTTGTATATAATATGTATAGATATTTAAATATATATACATATTATATACAAATGTTACAATATTATAAAATTAGAAACAATGTTTTTTTATTGAAATACCTTTAAATAAGAAAGGAAATCTCAATAAGAATCAAGTTCTTAAAATAAGAATCAGGTTCTTAAAATAAGAATCAAGTTCTTAAAATAAGAATCAGGTTCTTAAAATAAGAATCAGGTTCTTAAAATAAGAATCAAGTTCTTAAAATAAGAATCAGGTTCTTAAAATAAGAATCAGGTTCTTAAAATAAGAATTAAGTTCTTAAAATAAAAACAAAAATTCTTAAAATAAGAACAAAAGTTCTTAAAATAAGAACAAAAGTTCTTAACCTAGAATCTTGGATTTTGCTGTGTAAGCAAAAATTGGAATATTTTCAAGAATAATTATGGTGGATCTAAAGTTTTTGCGGATAAATAATTTTTAGGGATCACTATTCATGATACACTTAGATATTTTGGCGCCCAAAATTATTTCCTTAAAACACAGAGATCTTAAAAAGTAGCGTAAGTGCTCATATTACCCAGACTCCATCAAGATATGAGTACTTTAAATTAGTTTTAAAAAATAACATTAATTAAGTAAAGATGTACAAAGCTGACAATTTGAATTAATTTGTGGAATATAATGATTTGTTGTTAACAAAACTTACCATTAAATATCGAATTTTAAGCCACTTTCAATCGAAACAATACTGCCTTAATTTACGCAAAAAAATTAAAAATTAAAAAATATGTAATAAATTTAAAAAAATAAAAAATCGTTTTTTTTTTTCAATTTTATTAACTAAAACTTTAAAATTAGGGTCATGGCACCCCCTACCGTGAAGAAGCACCTACCGTAGTTTTTGATAAAATCATTAAATTTTTTATGCTTTTTTTTTATTTATTTTTTTAGTATTGTTTTATACAAAACTAACTTATTTCAGAAATAATATATTTCTAAAATATATATTTTTTTTAAAGATTTGAGATGTTTTTTTTACTCACAAATGATTTTTTATTGTTTTTATTAAGAAAATCTTTAACAGTAAAAAAAAAGTTTGTCTAGTTTTTTTTATGGCTTAAAATTTATATATTTGTTATTATTATTATAGTTGTAGCCATAAAATATGCATACCATATACACATACAGCGAGCAGGGAAAACACGCTATTATAAATAACCAGTTTTATAAATATTTGTTCCGAATTTAATCCTCAACCAGTGATCTAATCTAATTTTAAAAGAAAGTACAGTGGAGTATAAAGTTACTTGCTCGGGTAGTTCATTCCAGTATTTTGCTGACCTATTATATAATTGGTTGTGTCTTGGAAGACAGTTTAGAACATATTCACGTCTTATTTTAAGATGATGACCACGTGACAATGAGTTAATAAATTTTGGTTGATATTTATTATTAATAATATCAAATCGATGTATTAGTTTAAAACTTGTATTAGATCGTATCGTAGACGCCGAAACTCGAGTGATGGTAGATTTAGTCTTTTAAGTCTTTCATAGTATTGAGGATTTCTCAAGTTTAAAGCCCATTTTGTTGCTTTACGTTGAACGGATTCAACCAAAGCTACGTCAGTTTTTAAATACAGAGCCCAAACAGACACTGCATATTCAAGGTGTGGTCTTATACAAACTTTATATAATTTGAGAGCCATTTTTTCATCAACGATGGTGAATGTCCTTTTTAGCATACCAAGAATTTGTAAAGATTTGGAGATAACTGATTGAATATGTGTACTCCACTTGGGGTTAGATGTAAAAATGACTCCTAAATTGCGCTCCTTAATAGAGCTTCTTAGGCTTTCATTTATACCTTGGTTATTTTGCATAAAGTAGCTATACATAGGATTGGTTTTACCATAATGGATAACACAGTATTTTTAAATGTTTAATTTAAATAACCAAGTGTTTGACCACTCGTATATTAAGCGTAGACGGTCCTGCAGATCAACAAAATTAGTCTGCGATAAAGTTTTAGAAAAAAGTTTAGTATCGTCTGCAAATGCTTCAGAAGTTTCTGTAAGTTGGGCAAGATCGTTCTTAAAAAGAATAAAGAAGAGCGGGCCGAGAACTTTATTCGATTAAAGTTTAAAATAGTTGTAAAAGCATTGAATACTTTAAATTTTATCAAAAAATATTAGTATTTTTTGTACACGGTAAGTAGTTACGAAAATTATATTAGTTAGCACTTACCGTTTATGGAAAAAAAATTTTTGGACGTGTTTTATTTTGGGAAGTTTTCTCTCTAAAAAACAATTTAAGTTAAACTAAATTACCAATTAAAAGTAGTTTAACGCTAGGGAGTATTTATTTGATACGTTTTTTATACTTTATTTATTATGTGAAATGGATTTGATTAGAAATATGCAAGTTTCAAAAAAGAAAAAAAATATTTGAAAAAAGCTATTGTATTCCGAAGAACAACTGCATGCAGCACATAGAACTTTAAATAAAGGTGAAAAAAATTTTATGCGTCTGCAAAAAGTTTAATGTTCCTGAAAGAACCACTCGCTTCAAATTATCTGGTAAAAGCCAAAACGGCAAAATTCAAATTATCAAATTATCTTCAAATTACCTGGTAAAAGCAAACCCAAACGGCAAAACTCTGGCTTTAAATCATATCTTGGTGAAGAAATAGAGAATGAATTGGTTGCTTGGTTAATGCAGTGCGCTAACATGAGTTTTGTGATAACAAAAAAATTATTGATGATATTCCAAGTAAAAACTTTATCAACTTATGCGCCGTCATAAGGAATTATCGCAAAAACGAGCAGAGCGTATTAGTTGAGCCAAAGTTCTTATAACTGATGCATCGATAATAAAAAAGGTTTAATGAGGTGTATGAATTATTAGGAAATGATGCGTAATACCTTAATGATCCATATTGTGTTTTTAATTTTGACGAAACTGGTTCTGAGTTATTAGCACCAAAAACTGGAAAAGTAATTGGCATTAGACGAAGAAATGTTTATGAAGAACAGATGTTGCTTTATCACGGTAGGTGAAGAAACGTACTGGATCTTACAAAAAATTAAAAATAACATTTAAAAATAATTTTACTCAAATTTTAATAATATAAATTAGTTCATAATTGAGTATAAAATATTAATTCGAAAACCCTAAATAAAAATCTGTTACGTTTTGGGAGTAAAGAAGTTTTGAAGTTAAAAGTTTTCTTAAAGTCGCGGTAGCGGAAGACTCTAATTAGAGTAAATAAAAAAAAAACTAATACAATTTATAAAGTACGCAAATACTACTAATATTTGAAAAACTAGGTATCTGAAAAAAAATCAGTAAGATCTTATCTTCAGAGCCTTATACTAGTGTAAACAAAATATTAGGTTATAAAGTTACTATAAGTACTACAAAATAAAAATAAAATAAACATACATATATCACTTTGAAGTATAGGTAATAAAGTTTAATAAATATTTCAATAATATAAATATTATTGTCAAATTTTGATAATACGGGAGAGAAAAAGATTTTTCAGAGAAACATGCTATATATAGCATGTTTCTGAAGGCGGTAGAGAGATTGTAACTTATTTTTTTCAGTGCTTGCGCGAGTAATATTTGCATAATTCATATAGCTATGAATGAATAAAATAGCAATTAAAAAAAATCTTATAGAAAATAGTTTGGTGCATGACCGTTCTTATGGGGTGCACGCTAAACAATGCAAAATTTGTTAAAATTTTTTTCGACAAAAGAGCTCATATATTAAGTTGTTATTTCTTAGAGAGTTTTTATTGGAAAGGTTTCAAGGTAATTAAATTATTAAAAACGACAGGAGAAAGATTGTTTTTACATGTATATACAAAGCATAAAATATTAAAAATAAAAAGTTTGTAAATATTAAGTATTCTCATTTCAGAAAAAGGTTGTTTAGAGTTAGAGTTTAGGGGGAGGGGGTTGGTGCGGCGCATGAACCTCTGAGATAGCCGCAGCATCTTTTGGTATGCTCATAATACCAAAAGATTTCATAGATATAGCAGGGTGCAATGATAATAGGGGGCGCCAAATGAGATTTTTTTTACAAAAAAGTGAAAAAAATTAAAAAAATTAAAAAAATTAAAAAAATTATTAAAGAAGACACTAAGTTGTATCCAAACAAAACATTTTAGCATAAATCTTATAAATGCTTTTATAATTAGAGGAAAGGCACCTATGATGGCATAGCGCCTATGAAGACATACTGATCATATTTTCATAAATATTGGTTATGGCGAAAAAGTGATTAGACCAACATGTCTATATTGACTTTACATTAGTTTTAGTAAAAATTCGTCTCTTATGCACAAATATTGCTTTTGTAATCAACAAAAAATTGATTTTAGGATGTGCTGTTGTATTTTTAATCCCTTTAAATATTTTAGCTTGTGATTTTATTATTAACTGTACAAAAGTGAAACTTTTATGCATTTTATTTCCAAGTTTTGTGCATATAGTGGAATACTTATTTTAATTTTATCTTTTGAACAAGGCAGACATTTGATTAAATGAAAATGATGACTTTATCTTATGATGGCATATTGACGAGTTAGGTGTGTTGCAATATTGACGAGTTGAGAAAACCTTTTTATTTCATAAAAAAAACATATTTGTTAGCGAAGTAAAAAGGAATTTTTACTTCACTAAAAAATTTTTGGTTCAAAAAACACATAAAACGCAATATCTCTTATGCGCATGCGTAAAATTCTACTTTGCTGTGTAGCACGAAAGGGTTAATTAAGATAATTACAAGTATTTTCTGGCATTTCTAAGGGAAAACTCCAAGGTCAAATAAAATTGTCAAGTTAACCTTGATGCTAACCAGCCCCATCCTCCCCTATGCCATCATAGGAGCAGTATTTGCTATGATGCAACTACTGCTCCTATGATTGCCATCATAGGAGCAATAGTTGCCTAAAGCTGATGGAAGCTGCTAGGGTTATTATTTTTCTACATGTAACAAAGAATGTATACATATCAAAACTTTTGTTCTTGGTCTTTAGGATACTGAATAATGAAGCTTCAAAGTTAGGTATGCCATCATAGGCGCCTTTCCTCTATTCTAAAAAAAAATTATTAACAATTTTAAGCAAAAATTACAAAATAAAAAAAAAACTAAATTAATTAACTTTATTTGCTTAGATTTAAGAACTTCTTAAGGAGTATTAAAATCTCAATTCAAATCAAATGTCACGCCTACCCTCAAAAAAAAAAAAAAAAAAAAATCAAAACTTATAACTACAATGTGGTGGCTCTCACAAATACCGTGCAACGTAATGGAGAGAACTATCTTAGATTGGATTATAAAACGCTGTGCGTAATTTAATATCAAAGTCTCAACATGAATTTGTACATCACAAAGATCGCTTACAAACCTGTTTAAATCTCGCAACATTTTAACAAAAGCAGTTTTACTATGAACACTTGGTTGAAATAATTTTAAATGAATTTGCCAAAGCATTCAATGCAATGTCACACAACAACTTCTTTATAAAATTAGTGCCTATGAAATTTGAGGCCAGTTATTAAACAATATTTCTAGTTGGTTAGCTAATGGACAACAATGAGTAATAGTTAGAAAATAAACGTCTAAGTGAAAAAGTCTGAAGAGTGGCGTTCTTTAAGGATCAGTGTTTTTGTCACAGCTATTTGTTTTCTTCATCAATGACTTACCAAATTTCATTTATAAACATACCAAAATATGCGCCAATGATGGTAAGATCCTATGAGTTATCGGTGTCAATGAATTTTCCTCTGACTATGAAAAACTGTAAGTGGACACCGACAGCGCTGTAATTTGGTTCCACAACTGCCTTGTGAATTTCAACGTCGATAAGTGCAAAGTAATGCAATTTGGTTATCACAAAAGCTAATTAATATTACCATAGTTGATATTGACTCTAACGTACGTAATCTAGTTTCAACATGCATTGAGTGTGAACTTAGAGTACTAAAATCTAACAAGACTTTAATATATTCTCAAAGAACGAAGTGACCTTATACTACGATACAAAAATGCTTATCACTTGCAATTAAAATTTAGACTTTAAAAACTGTTTCTTCAAGATTCTCATTCGTCTGGATAAAAAATCAAGAACTGGTAAAAATTAAAGCTTGAGAAATAGAAGACAACTTTATGAAAGATATTTCGCATGTTAAGAGTTTGAAGGAGCCTTCATTTTTTACTTGCGGAAACGTTTAGGGTTTCTCAACTAATTATACTTAAAGGGTCTTTAGCCTATTGTCCAATCTATATGCATTCTAATTCTAATTTAGCTTGTAAAAAAGAAAAAAAGAGTTTTTTCAATATTAACTTCATAGAGTCTGTTTATTAATCCTAATCAATAAATGTGTTGCAATAGTGTTATTAATCCAGATTCTTGAAAATATGAATGTTAACTAACAGTATTAGAAATAAAAAAAATAGTCATTAACTTATTATTGTACATGCTTTTAATTTAAAACAATGCACGTTATAGGGGCGCTTAATTGCTGCTATGCCCCGGGCGTCATAAAAGCTCTCGGCGGCCCTGTGCTCATATTACCTAGGTGCTGATATTACCCAAATCTACCCTAAATATTCTTGAAGCTTTTTTTAATAGCGTGTAATAATTTCAATAGTAATGATGATTTTTTTCTGTAAAAATTACCATCACCTTTACATTACATAAAAACATCACACTAAAACCCTAATGATCACATCTATTATTAATACTCGTATATCATTTATTGGTGATGAATTATTCCAAATTATTATGTTATTGTGCAGCTGTCAGATCTGTGTACTGCTATTTATACTTCTTAGTTAAAGTTAAAGCTTTATAAAAATAGCATAACGCAAAATTTAACAACTTAATTTTTCACGTTTTTTTTTTTTTTTTTTTTTTTTTTCTAATTTTTGTCAAGCAACCATTTACAATTAAAGATAATTTTCGTAAAATATTTAGAAATATTAAATACAAGTACATTTCATTATTTATAATAGTTACAAGACCGGAGAACCTGAAGAAGATAAAGTCTTCTCATCAGTAACCTTTGATAATAAAAATTGGAAATAATCGTGTATTGTTAGAAAAAATCATGTAAAGAATTGTGATTGGCAATAAGTTCGATTATGTTCTTTTTAAATTTTTGAGAAGTATTGGCTTCTTTAAGTTCACCACTCAGACTTGTAAAATGGTTCCATAGCATTGGGCCACGATAGGAAATGGCAAAGCTCTTAAGTTTTGATGAACGGAAAGGTTTTTTAAATCTTCCGGTAGATCGCGTGTTGTATCGGTTTAATGTTTTATGGAAAATATTTTCGAAAACCTTCGGCGTTTTTTTTGACTGATGTTGAAACATAAATTGTGTAATTTTGAAAATATTTAACTCATAAATATCAAGTGCCCTCATGCTTTTAAGAAGAAGTTTATCATTTGTGAAGCGATTTTGAAAATGAATAATGCGTGCTGCATGATTCTTTTGTTTAAGGAGACAGTCGAGTTTAGATTTATTTGTACTACCCCAAACAATATTGCCATAAGATAAATAACTATTTATGAATGCAAAATATAGTTGAGTTAGTTTAGATTTGTCTAAGATTCGTCTGGTTTTATATAAGATGCCAATACTTCTTGAGATTTTATTGCTAATATGATTTATATGATCTCTCCAGGATAAGTTTTCGTCTATTAAAATACCAAGTAATTTATTTGTCAATATTGATGTTATTTATATATAGCATTGGTAAGGATTTTGGAATAGATTGAAACTTTCGTTTAGAATGGAATAAGGAAAACTTAGTTTTATCAGTGTTTAAAGATAAGCTGTTAGCGAAAAGCCAGTTTGATATTTGTTCTAGTTCATTATTTGCTACTTGAAATAGAGAGATAATATTACTGTGAGAATAGAATAAAGTGATGTCGTCTGCAAACATAATAGTAGACATAGTATTTGATGCTTTATAAAGATCGTTGACAAAGATTAAGAATAGCAACGGACCTAAGATGGAGCTTGTGGAACCCCACATGATATTTTAAGTTTGTTTGTCTGAAAGCCATCATTAAGAGAAATAAACTGCTTTCGATCAGTTAAGTAACTGGTAAACCATTTATGGTATTCGTGGCTTATTCCATAATATTTTAGTTTTTCTAATAAAATCTGATGATTAACGGTGTCAAATGCTTTTGACGAGTCTAGGAATATACCTAAGGTGAACTTGTTATGAGAAGATTCTTCACGTTAGTGTTTAATTAAGCTAATTTAACTAAATAAAAAATTAAATGATACAAATGATTTGATGAACACGTGGCTACAAATGATTTGATGAACACGTGAGCTTCACGGCTAGTTTGTTATTTTCCTTAAATCTATACGTAGTTTTTTTTACATTTTACTACTTTTGTTACATTCGAAATAACAAAAAAGCGCCAAAAATGAATGAATTTTTTTTTAGCCAATCACCTCATTTGTAGAAAATAATTATTTCAAATTAGTTCTAATGTGCTTTTAGAACGCAAGAAAGATGCTAACATATTGCGTATAAAACGTGAGAAAGTTTTAGGAAAACAGCGTTGATCCTATATTTTGGCCTTTAATTTCAAAATTAAAATGATTCATTTAAAATTGGGTATAGTGTTGAGATGAACGTTGAAAAATATTATTTAAGAAAAATTTATTTTAGTATTATTATCCATAGACAAATGTACTGAAAATTGTGCATTTTCATTAAATGAACTTTTGTTGTAGATTATTCTGAATTTGTATTTTTAAAATCTCATTATTTTTTACTTAGATATTTTTATGAGTGTTAATTAAAAATATATTTTTTTAGGAATTGCATATATATGATTGTAAAGTTTATTTATAATTTTTATCATGTCTAATGAAATGACAAACATTCATAAAGAAATTCTTATTCCGAACCGTGTATGCATTAGAGGTTGGATATATATTTGTGAAAATACTTTCTATTTAAATTATGTCATAATATATCTTTTACGATACTTTAATAATAACAATTAAATGAAAAGTTCTGATTTTCTAGAAAAATGATTGTTTTTAGGTTTGGATTCCGTAACTAAAGAGGAAGACTTGAATAATATTTTTCTTAAGTTCGGAACAATCATTGAGACTAAAATAATTCGAGATATATGCAACGGTGAAAGTCTAGGTAGATATTTAATCGATTAAATGGGGACGTTTTGATATTTTTAGATTAACTTTGATTTTCTTTACTTTTAATTATAATAATATTTTTATTTATAACATTATTTAAAACCTTTTTTAAAGAAGGCGTTTATTTTTGAATTAGGTCTTGGTTTTATCACATTTGATAGTCAGAGAGTGGCCGAACACGTAGTATCTACATGTAGTACAATGGAAATAAATGGAAAAGAAGTTTTTATCCTTCCAGCAAAAATTCAACGAATTCGTAAACCTAAAAGTTCTCCATCTAATTGCTCTTTTAATGCATATATACCTGATCCAAATGATACTTATCTTAGTTTGAATCGCCCGTTAACATCTTTGCATATAGTTCCTACGTATCCAATAGAGAATGAAGTTTTTTATAAAAACGGTGAAGGATACCCTGTCAAAAACATTCATAAAGACCGTTGCTTTAACTTGGGTAATAATATTCTGTGTTTAAAGTTTGCTAATTAATATTATGCAATATAATAGTCAAATTGTAATCATTTGAAAATTGAAAATAAGTTTTCTGTTACATTTTAACTTTTTTGTTATTTCAAAGTTTATAAATAAAGCATAAAAAATACATGAGTGGATCAAAGGAAAGAAATCATGGTAACTTAACACCTAACCCCCTATCGGCATATAGGTTTTAAGATATCTATTAATGAATTTATATTAAATTCCCTTTTAGTAACTCAGAAAAGTTTAAGGGTATACCTTTATAATTGAATTGTTTATAATTGAATAAAAATTTTTTTAATTGAAATTGTAATAAATAAAATTGTAAAATTGTTTTGTAATGTTGTTTTTTCTTTATTAGTAATGTTTTTGTTAAACTAACTCGTTTAGCAAATCTTCATCATCCTTTTGAAGTAATAGACAATGCATGTAATCCAAATTGCGTACTACCTGTTTACATACCTAACTATGGAATGCCGTTTTTAACCTTAAATGGAAATTCTATACATACTTCAACAAATCAAGTTCATGGCCATGTGCTTAATGGACGCGAGGATATTAGTTTTAATGGAATTCATTTGCAAAATGGTATATCTTTTATTCCCCAAGCAGCACCATCAGTGTCTGACCATTCACGTCGAAACGTGAATAATATTTTAAATGGAGCATCCTCGCCTATCAACAACACCGGTATATCTAGAGTAAGTTGCAGTTCTCCAATTAGTCCAGCACTTGCTCCTCCTCCAACGTTTTATCGATTGCCATTTGTATCAAATAAAATTGTTGAAGAAAATAGTACTCACTCTAAAAAAGAAAATGTAACGTTTACAAATCTAGTAAATTTTAGCGAATATTCACCTTCTAAATACACGAGTGTTCAAGATGCTGTCTCGTCATCAAAATACTCTAATGTCCAAGATGTTATCTCTTGTGGAAACCAACATAAGGTTTGATTAAAAACTTTTTAATTAAATTTTCTTATTTTGCTTATTTTTATTTAATTCATTCTTTTTTAGGAGCAGAAAGTTTATTTTATTGCTGCAGCCCCTGGAAAAGTGAAAAGAGTGGTTGTTAATTAGCTTTTTTTTTTTTCTTTTCAAAAATTTAAAACTTTCATTTCTTTTTTTAAAATTTGATTTTACTTTTTGTACAGGTTATTTTTATATAAAAAAGGTATTAGTTACATTGTCCATATTTTATAAAGTTATACGCTCCATATTTTATAAAGTTTAAAGATTTTATAAAATGACCTGGTTTAAATAACAAAAGAGAGAAAAATGGTTTTTACATTATGCAAATTATTATAACGCTTGTATTTTTTAACTTTATTGTAATTTTTGATGATAGTGTTCTATTTTAATTTTAAATGTAATTATTTGTGTTCCATGCATACGAATAATACAACCTGAATTATATTTTATAAGTTTCGAAAATTTTTAGTACAAAAATTTTTTCGAAGCTTTCACGTTCGATGTTTTTGATGGATAAATAATTGAATTTAATTTCAAACAAAAAAAATTGTCAAACTGCGCTATAAAAAAAAAAGAATGCTCTTTGAAATGATATTCTACAAGATTTAACTTTAATCACAGTTAAAATCAGAAATTCTTTTTTCTGTTAAAAGTAAAATTGAAATTGAAATGTAAAAAGTTTTAACAACTTAGTCTCTTTCTACGACATGACATTTAAATAAAATTATTCACCGATTTCGCGGTGAACTTGTTATATATTAGTAAACTAAATTAAAAATTTGTTTAAAATTTTAAAAATTTTTAACCGTGAAATTTTCACCGATTTCACAACCATTACAACGTTTAATTAGAATAAAACGTATTAATTAGAGCGATTAATTAGAATAAACGACAACGATTAATTAGAATAAAACGTATTGTAAACACTTTCTAACTTAACCGAAGGTTAGTTAAGAAAATAACGTTTACAATACATTATATTCTATTATTTTTAATGATAAGACGGGGTTTTATTACTTTTAATAATAAGACACTCATTTTTTTTAATAATAAGACGGGGTTTTCTTAACAAACTCAGACTTGACTATGTAGGATCGGCCTGTAATCTTTAGGATTGCCGTGCTAAGCGAAAAAGCAGTATCTCCATCTAAGCAAAATGTTAGTAAATCGATTAAAGTTAAGACACATTACAAATCTGTATTAAAAATAAGTGTTGAAATGTTTTAAAAATAAACGAAATAGCAGTAACTCCGCGTCATTTACTGCTTATTTGCTACTTATTTAGATTTGTTTTTATGGAATTTTAGAATTACTGTTAATCTTCTTAATTTCGAAAGCTCATTTTCGATGTTAAATATTGAATGTTCTGCTTTTTTACTGCAAAAGTAGTACAAAACCACATTGTTAACCCCCAGGTAGCAATATCTCAATTTTGACCAAAATTGGAGATACGCTAAGCACGACAAAGCTAGTCATTTTTTAAAAATATTTTTTGCTCGGAATAAGTTTTAAATTATTTTGTGTCAACGATCATGCTTTGTAGATCTAATTTCTTTAACAATGTTAGTATTAAAATAATTAATTAAAGAGATGTTTAATCAATTACAGCTCCTAAAAAATAATGAGAGCTTTGGCTATATTAGTACTGATAGAGTTAGATCTATTTTATTTTTCTGTTGATGTAATAGAATGTTTTTGGGTTTTCTATATTTATTTCTTTGTATTAAACTATATGTTTAGTTTTTTTAATTCAACATTTGTTCTTTTAAAAAGGTCTTTAATTATAGTAGAAGGGTGACTACCCCAAACAAACCATCTAATCATGTCTACAAAACCATTGTCATGAAAGTTGAAATTGAATTTATGTTTAAAATTAAAACCTTATATTGTCAAATGAGGGAGCGGCGCTGTATCTAAAGGTTAATAAAATTACGCTTATCTTAATGACTACCGTATGTATCATATGTATGTATAATTAGGTAAATTATCATACCCGCTCCCCCCCCCCCCCATCAGATTAAGGTAGTTTAAATCATGTGAACAAGTTTAAACTTTCAAATTACGTGAGTGGAGGTTAGAACTCCAAGGTCCATTTCTTCACTCACATCCCGAGAAGAATTATAACTTATACATGTTGGCCCCTATCTCATTAAATGAAAAAATTGTTGCAATAAATATAAGGTTAGGTTAAGAATTAACTGAAAGAAGTTTGATAGCTTCTTAAATGCAATTAATTACAAATATGGTGCTGAGTTCATCAGTATAATAGAATCCGTTTCCATAAATAGTTAAATGTGAAACTGTAAAATGATATTCATAATTCAAAACCCAATCACGACCCTTGTAATTCATATACACTCTTAAACAAAATCAGGAATCCGCAAAAATTACGCTTGAAAATCAATTGCGTTTAGGCACAATTGACTTTCAGGCGTAATCGCCTGAATTTCAGCCAACTCTTTTTCTATGGAAATCAGGGAAACTAAGCCTTCTGAAATACAGGGATTTTGATGCACTGAAATTAAGGAATTCTATTACTGTATATTCAGGGAAAAACTTTCGTCAACTCGGGTTTTTTATTTTTATTTTTTTTTCATTTGCATTCACTCCCAACAAGGCTGCAAGCAACCACTATTAAGTTGGGAGTTACTAGGAAAAAAAAGAACAGAGTTATAGAGCAAGGAAACGGTTGACAGAAGACTTGAAAAGTTGAAGATTGTATGAGTCAGGAAAACATGAAGATGGGAGAGAGTTCCAAAGGATTGAAGTGCGGGGAAAAAAACTAGATGAATAAAAGTATTTAGAGCATGCAGGGACAGATACAGTAAACGAATGAGACTTAGCTGAATGACAAGTAAAACGAGAATGAATTTTAGTTGATGGAACTAGAGATGATAACTCCTTTGAGCAGTGACCATGATAGTATCTGTAGAAAAGAGAAAGAGATGCAACTTTACGACGATGGGAAAGAGGTTCAAGCTTAGCAGATAGTCCAGGTCCAACAACATTTACAATGCGTTTTTGGACCTTGTCAAGAAGAGAAAGTGAATTGTTAGAAGAACCAGCCCAAATATGACAACAGTATTCCATACAGGGACGAATAAGAGATTTGTAGAGGTAGAGAATGGAATCAGAAGTAAGAAAATGGCGAGCACGATAAAGAGAAGCAACCTTAGATGAAGATAATTTAGCAATCGATTGTATATATGGTTTCCATGAAAGGTCAGTAGAAAGCGATAATCCAAGAAGACGTAAAGAGGACGACTCAGTAAGAGGATTGCCATTCATTAATATAGGAATGTTGACCATATTACGGTAGTTGTTTGCAGTAAGCAACTGGGTTTTTTTAGAGTTGAAATTCACAAGACACTGTGAACCCCAATCTATTACTGAAGTGAGATCGGATTCAAGATCAGCTGCTTGTTCTAGGCGATCGAAAAGAGAAGACTTTTTGTCAAGACACGAGTATAAAGTTGAGTCATCAGCAAAAAGAGCTACTTTAGATGAAAGGTTGTCAGGAAGATCGTTTATGTAGATAAGAAACAAAACAGGGCCCAGGATGGAACCTTGGGGAACCCCAGAAGTTACTGGAAATAAAGAAAAGTGTTGGCCTTCAAGGATGACTTTAATAAACCGGTTAGAAAGAAATGATTTGATAATCTCAAAAACTTTCCCATAAACACCATATGAAGCAAGCTTATGGAGAAAACCAGCATGCCAAACTTTGTCGAAAGCTTTAGATATGTCGAGAGCAATAGCCCTAGCCTCACTGCCTCTATCTAATGCACAATAAAATCTTTCAGTTACAGCAGTTAGCAAGTCGGCCGTAGAGCGAGAGGATCGAAAACCGTATTGATTGTCTGACAGTAGTTTATTTGACTCAAGATGAGATGTGAGGAATTTGTTGATCAAAGACTCAAAAGACCTTGGTAATAACAGAAAGAAGACTGATCGGACGATAATTGGAGGGGTCAGAATTTTCTCCAGAGTTTTTGAAGATTGGAACCACAGATGCCATTTTCCAACAAGCAGGAAAACAAGACTCAGTCAAACACTTGTTAAATAGTTTAGAGAGAATTGAAGAAAGTTCTGGAGAATAATTCTGAAAGACTGTGACAGGAATATTGTCTGGACCACTAGCTGTAGACGAGTTTAATTGAGATATGACTTTAGCAACAGAAGCCGGAGTGATTTGAATATCTAACAATGGGTCAACCTGTTTGACTGGAATGGAAGGAAGAGAATGTCCATAAGATTCAAGAGTGGAATTAGAAGAAAAGTTCTTTGCATATAGTTCTGCCTTATCCTTGGGAGAGGTAATAAGATCAGTCCCATGAATGAGAGATGGATTGTTAGATCTACCTTTGTTAATAATGCTGTTGAAGATTTTCCAAAAGTCTTTAGAGTCTAACTTCTGTGATAAGATGCGAGATTTAGTGAACTGAGAATAATGGAGTTTAGCATCAGAAAGCACCTTTTTACATCAATTTCTTGCAATAATAAATAGCCGTTTGTTCTCAAGAGAGTTGTTCTTTTGAAAAAGATGAAAAAAATGATTACGATTGGATATAGCAGCCGCACAAGAAGGAGAAAACCATGGAGTAGAATGAGGCTTGACTTGAAACCGACGCGAAGGAATAAAAGCTTCCATTCCAGCCTGAATCCAGGAGGTTATGTAGGAGGCGCATTTGTCAGCTGAGAGAGAAAAAACATCAGCCCAAGGACCATCACGAAGAAAATCACGAAAGGAATCCCAGTCAGCTTAAGGGTAGTAGTAGGTGGTGCGATGATAAGGTGAGCCCAAAAAAGAAGTACGAGAAGAAAGATTTATAGAGATCATTGCATGGTCAGAACCACCTAAGGGAGAAAAGGGAGAAACTGAACATAAGCTAGGGTTAGAGACAAGACATAAGTCAAGGAGTGAAAGTAAATGATTAGGGTTGTCAGGAAATTGAGTCACAAAGTTAACTATCTGAGTAAGAGATTGAGAAACGCAGAAGTTAAAGGCTTTAGTGCCAGCAGGATCAGTGGTGTTAGAGCCAAACCATTCAGTGTGATGGGCATTAAAATAACCAACAATAACAATATTGGCAGAGGGGTAAAGAGAGAGGGCATGGTCAATTTGATCAGAGATAACATCTAAGAGAGTGCAATCATGGGAAGAAGGAAAACGATAAAAAACA